AGTGGTTCTGGTGTCTCCAATGGTTCTTGGGTTTGAACCTCTTCATCTTCTGATTCTTCTATTGGAGTTGAAGAATCAGCTACATCAACTTCTGGGATCATCGTCTGCTGAAACTTCACCTGTTTTAGAGTATGCTTCACCTACTGCGGAGTATTACTTGTCTGGACAGCTTCATTTGTTACCTTCTTTATTAGGGCAGATTCATCAAAGGTAACATCTCTGCTACAAATTATCTTCTTGGTGTCTAAACACCAAAGGCGAAATCCCTTCACTCCATGGGTGATTCCCAAAAAGAAAGCCTTCTTTTCTCTCTGATCAAGCTTGGATTCCTTCACATGATAATAAGCAGTGGATCCAAATACATGTAAAGAATCATAATCAGTAGCAGGTTTTTTAGACCATACCTCTAATGGTATTTTTCCTCCTATCGTTGATGACGGGAGACGATTGATGAGATGACCAGCATATGTCACAGCCTCAGCCCAAAATGCTTTGCCTAACCCAGCACTAGACAACATACATCAAACTTTCTCCAATAGTGTTCGATTCATATGCTCTGCCACCTCATTCTGTTGTGGTGTATTTCTAACAGTGAAGTGTCAAACAATTTCCCCTCCATTGTCCGTCCTAAGACGATTGATCTTTCTACCAGTCTGGTTCTCGATCATATTTTTCCATTTCAGGAAAATTCAAACCACTTCATCGGATACACCCAAACTCTTCTGGAATAGTCATCTACAAAAGTTACAAAATAATGGTTTCCTCCCAAAGACGATGTCTTTGAAGGGCCCCATACATCTGAGTGAATATAATCCACAATACCTTTTTTATTATGTATAGTGGTACCAAACTTCACTCTCTTCTGCTTTCCTAGAACACAATGCTCGCAAAAGTTAAATTTGCAAGCCTTTGCACCTTTCAACAATCCTTTCTTTGCCAGAATTTGCAAGGATATTTCTCCAGCATGTCCCAACCGCATATGCCACAACTGGGTTGCGTCCAAATCATCACCTCCGGAAGCTGCTGCAACTGCTCCAATAATTGTACTACCTTGATAGTAATATAAATTATTTTTCCTGATGCCCTTCATTATCACAAGTGCGCCATATGTGACTTTTAAAACTCCATCTCTGATAGTGACTACTGAGCCTTTGGATTCCAAGGCTCCCAACGAGATGAGATTTTTGTTCAAATTGGGCACGTATCGGATATCCGTCAGAACTCTGGTTGATCCATCTTGATTCTTCAATCGAATTGAACCTATTCCAACAGTTTTACAGGCACCCATATAAACAACTCCTGCATTTAGTTCTACTAAATCAGAGAACCATTCCCGATTAGGTGACATATGATAGGGGTGCAACCCGAATCTAATATCCATTCATCTGAATGGAATGTTGTTGATGAAGCAACCAATGATATGTCAGAGTCATTTGCATCATGCTCTGCAACACATGCATCTGGAGCAACTTTTCCTTTCTTCTTCAACTTCGGACAATCTTTCTTCCAATGGCCTTTCTCATGACAAAAGGCACATTCATATTTTTCCCAGTCTAGACTTCGACTTTGATCTCCCTCTCCACTTTGGCTTTTGACTTTTCGAGCGACCTCTTGCCACCATGGCCTCCGCTGCTTCGTACTTGATCTCCTTCTTGGTTTTCTTCCTGATCTCGTAACTATTCAAAGCAACAATTACATCTTTAAGGGTAACATTATCCTTACCATGAAATAGCGTTGTCTCAAGGTGCTCAAATTCATCTGGAAGAGATGACAACAACAGCAAGGCCAAATCTTCATATTTGAAGGTTTCATCCATGCCTAATAAGTCTGCCACTAGTTCATTGAACGTAGTGATGTGTTCATTCATACTGGTGCCTAGTTGATAATCAAATCTGAATAATCTTTTCTTCATGTAGAGACGATTCTGAGAGCTTTTCTTTAGGATTTTTTTCCTCCAATGCTTTCCACATCTTACTTGCAGAAGTCTCGTTCTTGTAGCCATATTTCTGCTCCCTGGAAAGACAAGATCGAATCATGCTGCACGCCAAACGATTGATTCCTCCCCATTCTTTCTCCTCCATATATTCGGGTTTTTCTTCCTCAATGGCGATGTCTAGACCTTGTTGGAATAAAGCGTCTAACACCTCGCCTTGCCACATGCCAAAATGATCGGATCCATCGAATAAGTCCACCGAGAAATTTGCATTTGTCATCATCCTCCTCACCGGTCCGGATGAAGAGTTTGATGTCTCAACTGATCCTTATCTTGGCATTTTAATTCAAACGAACAATATTCAATAGCACGAACTGTATCTTTTCAGCAACGGAACCACCAGGATAACCTCAACCGAAGCTCTGATGCCAATTGTTGGGGAAATCGGGTTATTTCCCACACGAACGTAGTTTCAAAATTGACTTAAAATGTCAAGATCAAAACCACCAAAGGTTGCACAGCGGATAAACCTGTCAAACTATTGAATATTGAAACACAATGGAAAAAATCGAATAAAAACAATAAATGAGAGAACACACCAAATTTACGAGGTTCGATGATAATATCGTCTACTCCTCAGGCACCACACCGGATGAAAACTTCACTATATCGCCAATATCACAACAAATGGAATTCTTTAGAATTCCCAAAGTGGGAGAATGAAGAATACAAGAGGAAGAGAAAACTTGTTTTTTTGGGATAATTTCTAATGAAATACTTAGGCCTATTTATAGTTGAGTTTTAAGGACTAAACTTATAAATAACCTAATATTTTAGGGATCAAACATGAAAAATAAGTTGGCCACCTACCAAAGAATTTTCCAATGTGTACAAGTTAGCCACCAAATATGAAATTCCCATATTCAAAGTTTGGCCACCAACCAAGATGAAATTTCCAACTTGCCAACTTAATTTCAAGCCAAATCTAACACTGATTGTTGTTTTTGGTATTGGTTGATCGATTTTCAAGTGCAAAGAAGTGCTGAAGATCCATTGGTATTAGTGGCTACATATGATGGAGAGCACAACCACGACCATATTGCTCTGGCAGAACATCGATCATTAAGCCCCAACAGCAACAGGGGTTCAGCATTTTCCCAAACCAAATCTTTAGCTCTTAGGGCCACTCTTGATTTGATGCATCCAGTTGGATTGGGGGATGATACTCAAATTCAGCTCCATAACTTGATGCATCAGCTATCCGCTAACTTTTAGTTCATCAAATGGCAGTTTCTTTGACTAGAGACCCTAATTTCACGGCAGCTCTTTCTGCAGCCATTTCAGGCAGAGTTGTAAACCAAAATACGGTTGAAAAGTCATAGTACTTTTGTATCTTCTTTTTTCTTGGCTCAGTTGAAAATGGGAGAAGAGTATTCTATTGCAGTCTAGATATTATCATAGCTTTCCTTCTTAATTACATAGAAATCATAAGCCGTTCAACGAACAAATTAACATACAAAGACTGTCATTTTTAAAGTACTGGGACTGAAATGAACTATTACATATAGTACAGCCTCATTCCGATTTATCTTCTGTGCGTTTAATCTTGACAAATGCTCGATGCATTTTAGATGACAACCCTGATTTCTTGCTTACTCAGATTCGTAGTTCGGCAAACTCTGTGGCTTATATTCTAGCTTCTTTAGCCTCAAGTTCTTCTATTTCCTTTATGTTTGATTATCTTTCGTGTTTGAATCATGCGATTGTAAATGACATTATTTTAAATTAATGAAGGTGAGTACTCTTTCCTCCTTAATAGGTTTACAAATTTTTTTTAATGAGGTCCGGTTATTAAAAAAAAACTTCGCAGGTGCGGGCTGATATACTTTACTTTTCCCGGTTTGGGCCAAAATAGAGACTCCCGTAAGGCAATGGGCCATGGTTTAAAAGATTTAAGTACATTACCCCGAAGGAAAATAGACATATTCAAGGTCGGGTTGTCGGTTCAAGATAATAATAAGTTTGCAGAGAAAATTATATCCATTTAAAATATAGATAAGATTTTAGTTTTATCGGATTCATTTAAGCGTATAATACGTTGTTACTTTAAAGAATTTAATATATTACATAAGCTATATCATATAGAAATTTAATACATCTTATCTTAATTCAATTTATAGTCCCGAATTATATTGTATGTACACACTAGAATATACTCCGCCTAAATCAGTATATTTATCAAAGACTACATGAGGTTGGAGATGATAATGAAAGAGAGAAGCACTAATGAAATGAGATATCATACATGAAATGTATATATCTTAGATTATCTACTTGTAGTTTAGATCTGATAGATAACTAATAATTAGAATACGCACGTACTTTTTAGGACCAACATTCGTGTGTGAAACCGGTATACGTACAATAGTCGTGGTACACGCTTTGGGTTTCGAAAAATGAAAAGCAAGCCCACATTTATGAGCTTGCCTTTGCTTTTGTCTCCCATTCATTGATTTGTTTCTAGATGATATTACCCGTTGACCCTGCACGTCGATAGAATTATAAATGACTGATGGTAATCGGTCATTCATCACTCGTTTTCTTTTAAATTTTCTCGTACAAGGAAAGAGAAAACTAACAAAGACGGGAAAGTTCAAAGTCTACTAATTTGTGTACACATGTCCACTAACACGTTGGACCTCATAACCAGCAAAGTTGGTGCAAGAAAAAAAACAAGTGATGCATTCAAAGTGCTTACTTCAGCCGCATGATGTCATACCCATTACGTTATCAATTCACACATACACTGTATTAAATACCTATGGCCATGATTATGAAACACTAAGAAAAAATCTCTTTGAAAACCAGAAATGAAGGCTCAATTCTCTTTCCCACTTTGAAAAATATTTCCAGCAGCCATATTCATTGATATAAATCAATAAGATTTTTCTTTTAATTTCACCTACTGCCATGGATGCGCCACATTTTAACAAAAGAAAGGTCGATTATCTTTTATGAACATTGTCATCTTTGATCTGCATCTTCTTTTTAGAGATTTTTGTGTTAAAATGTTAGTAAAAATTTGCAGGTGGAAGCAGAGTTGGAAAATTTGCAGAAAGAGAACCAAAGGCTTAGATTATTGTTAGAAGCAATGAGCAGCAAGTATAGGGTGCTTCACGAAGCCTATGTCCAAGAATCAAACAAGGGAGCAAGGCCTCAATTTGCAGCCGTAGCTAAAGCGTCACATGTTTTTGTGAAAACGGACCCTAGAGACAAGAGCCTTGTACGTTCTTCACTTTAGCTTAGCTAGCTAGTTTTCTTAGCATTACTGTGTATAACAGCTAGATTTTCAGATGGTTAAAGATGGATTTCAATGGAGGAAATATGGCCAGAAAGTAACTAAAAATAACCCCTCACCCCGAGCTTATTTCAAGTGCTCTGTGGCTCCTGGATGTCCAGTCAAAAAGAAGGTACATAAGTAAAATTATATGCTCAAACTGAGCTTATTTCTAGAATTTGTTTTGGGATCCTTGTTTATAGGTTCAGCGATGCGTGGAGGATGAATCTTTTGTTATGGCAAGCTATGAAGGACAGCACAACCATGATGTTTATTCTACACCAGGACAATCATTGTCTTCTTCGGCAATTAGCTTTCCTTATCCGGTTCTGGATAACCCTTTTCGACCCACCATTACTCTTGATCTCACATCCAACATTGAAAACACTACTCCGAATTACCTTGGGAATGTTATGGAAGATTACCACACAAGCAACAACATCAAAGACTACGTTGAATCATTGACAAAAGATTCGAACTTCACTATGGCTTTAGCCGCCGCAGTTGCCAGCTCCATAACTGCTGGACTGTCTAAACCATCAATCTCATGAACTTGAAAAGAAATTAAATGCTAGAGGTTATTTAAAACCCGACTCTGGTCTTAGCTACCAACATACAACAATTTTGTTACTTAACTACGCCTATTTCCAACAACATGATTCGGTTTCTTCATCACTAGACTTTCATGGGATGTGTTTTGTCGATCGTCAAATGAGTCGACAAAGCCTCATTTCAAGGTGTGAATTTCATTTTTTATACTGATAACATGAGTGATTAATATAGTCAGTGGCACAACCTGGCCGAAAGGTACTCTCAACCACCCTAGGCAGTATCACGTCAGCTGGTCAGTCCGATCCATGACAGTCAAAGGGCTAAATACCGAGTTATATAGTATCACTGTTAAAACTAGGAATACTAATCCAGAAATGTGTTGGCTTTTCGTAGGTTGGTAGCTCCATATGTGTACTTGAGAGTTGAGACCCACCTTCATACAAGAGAAGATGTTATTATCTTGTATAGATGATAATCTACAACTAGGGGTGAGCAAAACTTGATTCAATTCGAAAAACTGAATTTTTCGACTCGAAAAAACTCAACTCGAATTGAGTTCAAATTGTAATTTTATAAACTCGACTCGACTCGAAAAAATTTCAAATTAAAATCGAGTTGCAAAATGCAATTCGAATAACTCAAAATTTTTAATAATTAGTGGATTTATTTTCAAGTTTGACTCGAGTCATTGGCTTTGTATAATATATGTATATCACATATGAAAAGAATATGAATAAATATAAATTTTATTGTATATATGGTTATAGAAGGTCACTTAAATTGGAATCAAATAATATTATAATATTATAAATATTTACAATTAAATTTAAACAGAAACTCAAAAAATCGACTCAAGTTGACTCAAATTTTATAAACTCGAATCGACTCGAAAAAATTTCAAATAAAATCCAAGTTGTAAAATAGGACTCGGCAACATGAATAACTCAAATTTTTTTAATCGACTCAACTCAAATTGATTGAACCCTCACCCCTGTCTACAACCAATTCTTAAAAATTTCACTTACATTCCTTGTGACTAAAATTTTACACAATGTTTATATATATACACTGAAAAGGAGAACAGAAGTAAAACTATAATATAATGATGTGTTCCTATATATTTTACAATAAAGCTTTTTAGGCACCTTACAGGTAGCTTGAGAAGACCTAATATGAACCTCATCCATCGGCTCTACTCCAGAACCAGAAAACATGTTAAATAATTAATGCAGTTAAATATCTTACAATTTGAAATTGGTATTTGGACTCTCCATTCACCACCAGCATGCATTCGAAATTTACAACAACTCATTCTTGCAGTCTCATGTTAGACTACGCGTTCTTCTCCGATACAGTCGTGCTCTAAGCTTCTGAGGTTTTTCCCTTCACTGAGCAAAACATAACATGTTTTCACATGTGAGAATCAGAATGTCAGGTTACCGATCTATCATTGAATAGCAGTGCTGTACTAATTTATTGGCTTCTCGTTTTCTTCCTCCTTTGCTTTCTTCATATCCAATTCAAGTTGCTTGCAGTTTTCCTCGTGTGCTTTGACAAACATCATCGAAAAGCTGAGCAGAGTAGCCATGACTATAGAAAAAGTTGCAGACAAAAGGGAAAGTGATAAATCTGAATAAAAATACATGTGGACACCCGTTTTTGTCCGGGTCTTTTTTATTTATTTTTATTTTTATTATTTTTTTATTATTTTATTATTATTAACTATTATTATTAATTTTACATATTACATTTTTTTTTTGCAGGCTTAGAAGCCCAATTCAGATTACAAAGGCCCAATCCCGGAGCCCAACAACCCAGACCTGCGGCCCAGCAATCGGCCCAAACCCGCTAGGGTTACCCCTTCTCTGCCTCAGCGCCGCACCATCAAGACCGTCTGATCTGGACCCATCCAATGGTCCAGATCAAAGGCCATTTAGGTCTGAAACCCTAACCGTTCAGTAGCCGTCGCCCTCAACAGAGGAAATGTCGCGCCGCCGCCGCAAGTTCCGGCCCACTCCGATGATCTAGTCACTGTTACCACACCACCATCGTCATCTACAGTGAAACATATCACCAAATCAGTACATATTTCATCTACAGTAGCCTAAATCCGAAAACCCATTAAAATAACACCCCAAAATCCCGAAAAATCTGGACTTTATCCACCCAAATCAGAGAAATCAAATCCTATCTACCTAGATATCATCATCATATCACCAAATACTCAACATAAATCAAGGGAACGAAACCAGAAGAAAAAAACGAAAAGAAAAATACAGAGAGAGATTCGAAACAGAAAAAAAAAAAAAGGAGAGGCATCTTACCTTTAGAGAGAGATCCGAGCGTTGTATCGTCGCCGGAGTGAACAGGAGCCATTACCGAAGGTAAAACAACCTCTCTTTTCCTAGATCTAGTTTTTCTTGGGGTGGGTTTTCGTTTGTTTTTTTTTTGGTTGAGGTCTGGGAGAGGAAGTAGAGTGATTAAGGTTGTGTTGCTCCCCGTGGCCACCGGCTTACGGTGGCCGGGGAGCCGCGTTGTTCTCGTGAGGAGAAACGAGGAAGAAGGGAAGGGGAGGGAAGAACGAGTGAAACGACTGAGGAAATGGGGAGCGAGCAAATGATTTTAGGGTTTCAAAATAACCCTTAAAAGGGTTATATTTCAGACGTCGGGCGACGTCGTTTTGAAGCAAGAGGGAGGCCGAGTGATGCGATTAAGGGCTAATAGCCTATTTGGTCCTCTTACCTCTGTAATCTGGCACGCGTGTTCTTAACATTTATGGGTAAATAACAGTTTAGGTCCCTCAAGCTTTTGTAAGGGTTGTAATCTGGTCCCTAAATGAAATCCATGCAATCTTATTTCGAGCCTATAGTTTTATTTTGTTTTATTTGAATCACTAGTTTATATATTATGTATGTTTTATGATCTTCGAATTTGGACCTGTGATTTATGTTTTTTTTTCATTTCGGTCACTGGGCTGGTTATTGTTAATATTTTTGAAAGTTTAGACATTGTACTCTTTATTTATGAAACTTTTATCTTGATCACTACTCTCATATTTTGGGTTAAATATCGATTAATGTCTGTTATTTTACTTCATTTATTTTAGTCTTATCTGGTTTATTATTACATTTTTATTAGAGTTCGAATTTGGCCATATTATTTTATGTATGTTTCGTTTTAGTCCCTGTTTAACATTTGGCTTAATTGTGGTTTAGTTCTTTATGTTTTTTTTCATTTCATTTTGGTCCCTAATATGATTTATGGTTTATTTTTTTACTGTTTTTAAATATTTGTTAATTATATTTTAGCCCCTTAAATGTTTTAATATTTATTTTGGTCTGTAATATTTACTAATTTGTATTTTAGTCATTTATGTATGGATGTGCATTTTACTCATTAGTTAATTATTGGTATTGTGTTTACTTAAATTTAATGTAAATCTTTGTATTTCCAATCACATTTATTTCATTATATTTTATCTATGTAAGAAATATTCGATTATATTTTCAAGAACACGTATGCGTAGAATGGGCGTGGAAAGTACCACTTGGTCGAAGTGGTACGATCCGATACGACATTTTAACGACATAGGGACTTGTAACAAGTCGAGTATATTTTACTAATTAATTTATTAAAATGATGTAATGTGTGGTACCTTAAGTGATACTCACTTTATTTTATGTGAATGTAAATTTTAAATTTTCATTTTATATTCGATACACGTTTTTAAATAAATGATGAGAGAATATTCTTTAAAAGATAAGAAATAGACGAGTTAACTTTCCCGACGGAGGATTGTTAATCTCGAGATTTCCTTTCAAATTAAAGAATTTTCTCTGATAAAATAATTCGAAGTAAATTAATTAAATCTCAATAAACGAATCATATTTTAGTTTTATATTCAATTTGTAATTTCCACCATTTACGACGATGTGTAAGCTACACAGTACCAATTTTGGGCGTTGTGGGGGTGTTTACCCTTCCCCACACGTAACCGACTCCCGAACCTGTTTTAAATGAATCTTTGGTAACGTAGACCAAATTTTTGTCTTATAAAATTATTTTTCTTAAAAATTGTTTTTAAAAGACGTTTTTAGGTATTTGACCTACCTAACCCAAAGGTCGATGGCGACTCTTTTCAATTTTATTCAAATCCATTCAAAATCACCAAATTTTCCAAATTAAAGTCATAATTGTTTTTAAAAATAATATTTAATTGTTTAAAAAAAAATGGTTATGACAATACAATCTAGATATAAAACTGCAGCTGAGATTAACAAGGGTGCATGTTAGCTAATAGTTTTCCGAAAGCACAAATTACTCAAGATGGGAACATATTAGCACAAATGCTAGCTATGATATCCAAACTAGATCAACTTTACTGTAGGCATCCAAAGTGACCTTAGTAGCATTCTGATGAGAAAACAACAATCCGTTATAGATCAAGCGGGGGTCACAGCAATCATTTAGGACAGCATCACTCAAATTATTGCTTTTGGGGATAAGTAGAAATATTACTACAATAAAAGAAAACCATTATATTTCCGTTATTAAAAGGTAACAAAGTGTAAACAAATCAGTTGACTAGATAAACTTTTGGGTCCTAAAATGATGCAGGGTTAAACATTAATTAGACTTGTTAAGACCAAACAACCACCTTGCTCAAATGGGCAACGTGCAGCATCTTCTCCAAAATAATGAGCCAATGCATCTGCATTTTACCCTGATCAATTTAGAAATGCTTATGAATTTGTTTCTTGCTGTAAAGCCTCCTTAAGGTAATACATACCACGCAAGTATGAAGCGCAGTCAAAGACTTGACTTTCCCTTCAGCAAAACTAAGGAACTCCTTTACAGTCTGAAGATTTATATAAATAAAGCATTTACTGTTAGAGAAATATGAAGAATAAGAAAAATGAGAATTAGAGAGAGCAAAGTTATTTGAAAGCGACTACTGATCCAAACGAAATATGATTCCCGAGACAAGTGATAGAGTTGTATAGTAGCTCAATGGTCATGGTACTCTTGATTAGCACTTCAACATTTTGAAGGCTGACGAAGTGCTGCCTTTAGGCACATAGGTGTCACAACGAATGAATATTTGGAAAAATAATTCGGAAGGCTGTTCACAGCTGTTCATTTTTATCAAAACCCAACACTGAGTCATAAAACAATTGGATGAGATTAAAGCTCAAGATATTTTGACCAAAGTCTCGGATCACAACAGCTCTAATCAAGTTTCTTTTAATCAATATTGACTTAAACATCCCATTTAGCTTCTGCAAAGGCCAAAACTGACCTAAAATTACTAAAGACCCTGATTGAGAACTTTAATGCACCATCTTGTTCCTCTTTAAAGATTATGCAATGTTGTTATTTAGTTAAGGTAAGGGGCGGGGTGGAGACTAGGAAAGCCAAGGCTGTAGTGTCCCTAACAGGCACTGCATGAAATATAAGAAGAAAATCCAAGCAACATGTGAATGTGCAGAACCTGATTGATAGGCAAAATAGCTATTTAATATATAGGAAATACCTTGCAAAATGTTGCAGACACGGGACCATCCTTTTCCGAGGCAGCTAGTTCTTGGATAACCTTCTCCAACCCTTTACTAATGGCTTGCATCTCGTCTGCCAAACATTTCAATTGTACCTTAACATCATATGGAAAAGGTTAAGCAATTTAAATATGATCTGGAAAGGCCATAAAAATCTTACCTTTGTTGCAGCTTCCAAAGTCGCAAGGTCTTTTGGAAAATCTATTAATTCTGGCAACTTTTGGCTCAGGAACTAAAAATTAGAGGCCGTAAAGAGTAAAACATAAATCGACGTTCTCACATATAATAAAGTATGGTTTGTCATGGCAATAAGAGGTTATGATTGCAAAAGTAAAACAACCCAACATACCATGCATTTTCTGCAAGAATTTTCATGATATTAGTAACCTTTAAATTTTAAAATTAGTCTTCAACAAAATTGAAAAAGGATGACATGTCTGCACACATTCAAGCATTTTACTTGGTACAGCAAGACAGAGGCATTACATCTTGAAACATAAGTGCAGAAGTACAAGAATATTCAAGTTATTAACAAATTTAACAGGAAAGATAAGAATCAAGAAAATTAAGGTAGATGATCTTCTACCTTACAAAGATAATGCATGAGATTCATCTTTTTATTGCGAGCCCGTGTATCTGTGAGTTTAAGGAGACAATCCAACCAAAAACCAACAGCAGAACCTGTGGGGACGAACCATAAATTACTGAAACGTTTGGAGCAAATTGATGCTTCTTGAAAAAATTGTACAGATATGGCATCTAGGGACTCGATTTCTATTCTTAGCAATTAAGGAAAAAAATACCGAATTACAGGACCGTGTTAAACATTTAAGAGACTTATGTAACAATAAAAATACACAACTCATTCAAGAAGAATAACAAAAGGCAAAATCAGCTGTGAAAAAGACCTTTCCCATTAATAAATTTATTTAAACAGAATGGGATACAAAAGACGACTACAATAAGATAGTTCTTCATCTATTAATAAATATACCTCCTCAGTTAAATCACTCCCCTGGCAGTTCCTTGGTTCAAGGCATTTCCCTGAGAAAGAATAGTTTGCATGATCCTTTTCAATTTGACCGAGTTCCTTACCTGGTGAATGCATTGGTGAAATGGTTTCAATGACTAAATTCTTCAGGAGAAATAACACATTCAATTGGAAAAGCTAATTTATGCCAAAAGAAGCTTAACTTGCCTCTCCAACAGCAGAGTTTACAATATCCAAACTATTTCTAAGATCAGAAACCTGTAAAGGTGCAATAAGTACCAATTAGGTGACAACAACAGTAGAGAGCATCTCATACCAATCTGAGTACACAGTTTCTCCTCAAACCTGGGAATAAAATTGTATTTTGAATAGGAAAACTTTTAGCTTAGACTCTACTCGTGGCACTGTCATCAATTCTAGGAAGAACTGTCACAAAATACTGAGCAAGTAATCAGATTATATGCAAAATTAAATTGTTAAAGAAAAATGTACAACCCAGAGATACTCTGCTGACCTGTTCGCATTTTCCCAAGTTTTCCCTGTCTCCCATATAACCCTGAAAATAAAAATATATTCATCACCTCAACCGTTATTATTTGTATAATGTGCATGTGCCATCTACTCTGTTATGAGCATATAGAAGTCTTCCAATCTTAAAACTATTACTTCAAGAGCACAGACAGAGAATAATAGAAGCACATATATTAAATACCTTGAGAATTCGATCTGTTCTTTTGTAGGACAAAACTTAATAAGGTTCTCAATCTGATCAGGATCTAACGCCGTATCATCTAAGGCAAGGATTGCACTCTGCAACATAGTGGAAGAGAAGTACAAATGTAAAACATCAAATGAAGAATATTTCAGGGCAACAAATTGAACATGATGGATGTTATATAAGTTCGGTCAGAAAGTAGATTCCTAATTTAGGAAGATATTATTAACTAGGATCTTGTAAATAGTCTTACAATCCCTAACTTTTAAGAGATTTAATTCTTACCTAAAATAAGCTACTTTCTTAGCATATGAGTTTCTTAAGATAAGTTATTGTTTGTGTGTATAACCATGTACATACAAAAAGTACAAGTGAATTAGGGTCATTTGGTGGAAACATTTTACGAAAAATATTTACTGTATTTGATTCTCATAAACAAGAGAGTCAACTATCAACGAAAAACTCCTTCCTTTCCCCCCGTAAAATAACTTACCCTATGGAGAAGGGTAAGTCATTTTTCCTTCCCTCGCTCCACACCGAATTTCGATCGATCTTGGCCTCCTAAAGCCTCGAAACCCGAAACCCAGAGGAGGGGCGAGAGCAAGTGCCATAAAAAACCAAAACCCCTTTTTCCCTCTTTGTTTTATATCTCATCTTATCGAGTCCACGACTCATTCACTGATACTGAAAGCTACACAGCGAGAGTGAGCAGGAGACGAAGCTGCTGCTGCTTTGCCTTGCGAACAGAATTGCTGATAGCAAATGGCGGAGAAGCTGGAAGAGCAGCTCAAGGAGCTGGGAAGTTGGAATCTCCTCCATTCGCCAAGGACGCCATTCTCAAGCTGTTAAAGGCACGCATTCTTCAACTTTATTACTTCTCCACTGAACTTCCTAGCTTCGCTAGGGTTAATTCATGCCTAACCATTTTCTTTCCCCTACTATTTTAGGTTTTAGGGTTGTAACCGTCTGTTCTACCTGAATTAGATTGCTTAGCTAAAGTTCGTTCCTAATTGGTTGAATTAGGGTTGTTCCCACAATTCACAAAGTTTCTCCTTAGTGACATGCTACCCCCACTCATACTTCCTGCCAACTTGAGTTTCCACTTGTATCGTATACCCTTAATTTGCTACTTGATATGATATTTGGGTCAACCGTTCTTTTGAGTTAATTCAAGCTATTAGTTACCGTATTAGAATGTTCTATTGTTCTGTCCCAATAGTTGTATCTTCAAACATTATGGTTCTTCTAGCAGTGAACCAGGACCTAAACAAGCTGCAATGTGCTAGCCTCGGGACCTGGACTGTGTTTGACTTTCCCCCTACATTTTAATGATCGATAACCTCCATACTTCAAGAACATAAGTATGCCGTAAATCTTTGGTTTGGTGCCTTTCATGGATTACACCACCAATCTATCGTTTTGTGTAAAGGCAAAAAATGTGTACTGTGGGTCTGGCCTTAGTTTGGAAGTGTCATCATGGTTTGCAAAGGGCTTTAAGGGGTATTGTGGTGAACATAATCAACCTTGAAAAGAAGTCAACCTAGACTTGGAATTAGTTCAATTGACTGCATTAATTAAATTTCTACCTTCTGTTAGCTTGTGGGTTTTATCCTTAAATGCTATAGGAAGCTAACTAATCTTTACCAATATCAATCCATGTAAAATGTTGTCTTACTCTCACTCCTCCCTTGATCATTTTCTGTTACATTGAATTACTTTTTGCAACTCAAATGCCCGTTGGTCAAACTTAACTAAACATCATTGTTTTGTTCCTTCTGTTGTGAATGATAAGTTTCCTTCATAAACAAATGTCTGCCAATGGAGTAGTTAGTTTACTCAATCAATAGCAACTAGCTATTTAAAGAATTCTTGTCTTATCCAAACATAGACCAAAGAGATTTTTCGAATATGGATTGGTTTTATTTTAGTCTCACATGGTGCTTGGAATCTCTAATTGGTTTCCTTATAGTGATGATATTCTAAAGGTGCTTTTTCTTTCATGAAGGTTTATTGTTTGGTTCTTGATTTTCTTAGAAAGTAATAAATTTTCAACTGAACTTCTGGTGATTGATTTGTGGCATGCTTTCAGGATATTTTAGCTTGATTGTTGGAACTTTCAATGGATTGAGCAATACTAGTGGTCCATCATTTGGAGTAGAGTTGTAATTTTGGAGACTCTTGCAAAATATAGATCCTGTGTTGTGATGTTGGATCTTGAATGTGATGATTTGGTTAATGAAATGTTCAGTACATTTTTTTTCTGTTGTCAGTATGTTTGCTCCAGTATTTATTTACTTTTGAGGGAAGTGCTTGCTTTTTTATCTTGGATCTTGAATATGATAATCCGAATATCTGATTAATAAAATGTTCAGTATTTTTACTCATTAATTTTAAATATTTTTTTGCAAGTAATATGAATGCTTTTATTATTGTCGAATGTAGAAATTTGAAATGGCTCTATGGTACGATTTGGTAATGGTCTTAGTATTCACTTTAATGTAGTGGCCAAGATACACCTGCAACCTCTTTTGTTCTCGACTTCTTGTATGTATCTTGGCCATATCTATATGTATATGCATGTTGGTAAAGTTGGTGCTTGAATGTTTGATCTTTCCCTAAATTGTTTTTACAGTAAGATCTTCAGGTAGATTATAGCTATTTTACTCTGTATTTGAATTGTCATGAAAGACTGGTTTACTACATATTTTAGGGATGATCATCCAGAAAGTGTTTTATCATCCATGCAGACAATCATGATGTGTTAGAAGAGTGAAGATGTTCGAGATGATCTTTTACTTGTTATATTGTCTGCATTAGGTCGTAATAGAAGTGTAAGAATTTAATGTTTACTATTGGCTTATTGCTTACAGATTGTGTTGCTGCCTGTATTATTTCTTAGAAGTTATATTCTTAATTGGAAGGGGATTTATATTTCTGAAATCTATATTTCAGGTTGTTACACAAGCGCCAGGAGACTTGCTATGAATGTTATAGAGCAGTGCTCAGAAAACTTGAAACCGGCATAAAACTGTTTCTTATTTCAGTGATGTCTGGAGATAATCAGCCAATAAAAATTGAAATTGACTATCATGAAGTTGTCTATGACATTATCATTATGCTCAGATATTTATCATGAGTTGTCCCATACCTCACAGGAGAGCTGTTGGTATGCAAACAATCATTGTTTTTTCATTTTTACTAATTACTTAACTGCATTATGATTTGTTCTCCATTTTAAGACATTTATTTGTTGTTTTTGAGAAATTTTGTTATATTCTGAAATAATTCTTATAATATTTTTGAGTAGTTATGTACTATTGTAGTTTTAATGTGGTGTACTATTAATTAAACCTACATAATGTTTATAATTTTTATAATATTTTAATCAATTATTAATAGTATATCAATAAACCTACTAATATTATTATACGTTGAATTCTTTCTAAAAATACGAATGAATAAGAATCATGAAGATTTTAAACCTAAGTAGTGTATTTATAACACAGTCAACATAAATTATTAATATTATCTAAAAATTTAGTTTGTCGTACTTATAAAATACAAATTTTTATAAAATATGATTATATATATAAAAATGAACCTTAAAAATAATAAATAATAAAACCATCGAATATGTATGATTCTTATTAAAAACAGATTTTGAAAATTATTTTAAGAAAATTAACCAAACACCGTAAAACATTTTACAATGTACCATCCAAACATTGGAAAATGTTTTTTCGAAAATGTTTTCCAGAAAGTAATTCATTTTTCAAAAAACTGTTTTAAGTGAAACAAACGGACCCTTAGTCCATTTTCTACATGGTATCAGATCCTGTATAAGCTCTTTTTCAATCACCATTTTTCCTTTCTAGCAACCTCTTACTATCTCAAAACCCTTCTTGAGTGCGAAGTATTGACATGGTTGAAGTAGTCGACACCAGTAGTACTGAAACTACTCAAGAAGTCACAATGAATGAAGGAAATTCGAGTTCAAGGGGGATTGCAGAATATACAATCAACCTATAGGTTGAATGGAAAAAATTACCTTAAGTGGTCTCAACTAGTTCGAACGTTCCTAAAGGGGAGAGGGAAGTTAAGCCATCTACTTGGTTCTGGACCTGAAGTAGGAGACCATAGGTTCGATTAGGATGAACAAGATTCCCTGGTAATGTCCTGGTTATGGAATTTCATGATTCCAGAAATCAGTGATACATGCATGTTCTTGAACACAACCAAAAAATACGGGAGGCAGTAAAACAGACCTACTCAAAGGTTCGAGATGCATCTCAAATCTATGAGATCAAGACTAAGATATCATCTACTAATCAAGAAAACATATCGATAACAGAGTATTCCAACTTACCACAGAACCTATGACAAGAAATGTATCTATCAGTATATCCAATAAGGTGCAACGAAGATGCAACAATTTTGAAAAGGTTTGTAGAAAAAGGTCGAATCTAAAAAAGGTTTGTAGAAAAGGTAGAATCTGATTTTCTTGTTGGGCTAAATATTGAGTTTGATGCAGTAGAGTCCAAATTCTTGGAAAAGAGTATTTGCCCTCACTAAATGAAATAATTGCAATAATATGTGCTGAGGAGGAAGAAGAGAAGTGATGATCGAAAACAGTCAAGTGGAGAGTTTAGCCCTGGTCACAAGGACTGTAACCGAGAAGAAATCTAGTGTAAAACGATTATGATGAAGATAATAGGCAGCAACAAAAACAAATAAGGAATCCATGTGGTACACCTACTGTAAGAAGGCTCGTCACATAAGATAAAAATGCTGAAACTTTATGGGAAGCCACAAACAACAAATAGGAATTTCTTAGAGAAAGGAGACCATCAAAAGGGCAAGGACGCACATATGCAACAAAACAACAAGCTGAAGATCCTCAAGAACAGACTGTTGAGTTCAAAAGAGAAGAGATTGAAAAATTTAAGAACCTACTAAGATCTCTGGAAAAAAAACCCTCATCAACAGATATTTGTAGTTTTTTCTCAGGAATCCTATTCTCAAAACTCTAAATCCTCAGATACGTATACCTAAAGCTCCTGGATAATTGATTCAGGGGCTACAGACCATATGCCCAATTTCACTTGGATTATCACCTATAACTAACCTTATTTCGATCCAAAAATTATCAAATAAACTAATTGTTGTGTTCTCTTCCATCCCAACCAATGTATTTTTCAGGAACTAAAGTCGAGGAGGAAGATTGGATGTGCTAAAGAAGTCAACGGTCTATACTATCTTGAAGACCCTAGTGGACAAGTTAATACCCTGAGTTCCTCACCATTATCCCTTATGTCAAAATCCCAATTAAATAAAGACCAAATATGGCTTCATCATCTTCGGCTTGGTCATCCCTCCTTTAAAGTAATAAAGCTCATGTTTCCTTCTCTTTTCAAAAATTTAAATGTTGAGGAAGATTGGATGTGCTAAAGAAGTCAACGGTCTATACTATCTTGAAGACCCTAGTGGACAAGTAATACCCTGAGTTCCTCACCATTATCCCTTATGTCAAAATCCCAATTAAATAAAGACCAAATATGGCTTCATCATCTTCGGCTTGGTCATCCCTCCTTTAAAGTAATAAAGCTCATGTTTCCTTCTCTTTTCAAAAATTTAAATGTTGAAAATTTTCATTGTTATATCTGTGAACTAGCGAGACACAAGCGCACTTCCTTTCCAGTAAGAAATAAAAGAACTCCCAACCCTTTAATCTCATCCATAGTAGTGCCATCCACTGTCTTAAATATATTCGGGGCTCGTTGGTTTGTATCCTTCATTGATGATTATACAATAATATATTGGGTATTTCTCCTAAAATAGAAATCAGATGTAAGCTTTGTCTTTAAGACCTTTATATCATGATCAAAACCTAATTTAGGGCTGAAATAAAAGATTTTGATATAATAAAGCAATAGATTACTTCAACCAGATTTTGTCCCCTTATTTTCAAGAAAAATGTATTATATGCGAGTCCTCTTGTGTTAATACACCCCAACAGAACAGAGTAGCTAAGAGAAAATTTGGCCATATCCTTGCTGTCACTAGAGCACTCTTGTTCCAAAAAAAAAGTTCCTAAACACTATTGGGGGAGGCTATTTTAACAGCTACCTATATGATAAACATGTTACCTACAAAGTCCTTGATTTTCAAAGTCCCATTCAAATCCTAACCAAGTTCTTTCCGACTTCAATGCCTCATTAATCTTGAGCCTAAGATATTTGGTTGAGTTGCATTTTTCCATATACACTCTCTAAACAGGGGAAAACTTGATCCAAGAGCGTTAAAATGTGTCTTTGTGGGCTATTCTTCTACCCAAAGGGATAAAAATGCTATCCCACCTACAAGAAAATATTTCGTTTATGCTTATGTTACCTTTGTAGAATAGTAAAACTACTTCACTTGTCCTTATCTTCAGAGAGAGATTTCATTTAAAGAAGATAAGGAAAAATATTATTCCTTATTCAGTCACTTCTTAACCTTCTTTCAGTCACCCAACCACTCCAAAGAGCCAAGCCACTGAATAGCCAGTTTCCAGCTTACCAGCCAAATACTCCCACAAACAGTCCTAGAAAAACTGCTAAACCTAAGCCTAATACACCTCAGCAAAGGGCTCAGGATACTACATTGGTCTATTCGAGGAGAAAGACACCAATGCAGGTTCAATCATCCTCTTATTCTTTACAAAATGAGGTAATTACTGAACCTATATTTGATCAAAATACTGTTACTGAAAATTTTGATAAGCCTATTGATCAGAGGGATTTTGAATTTCCTATTGCAATTAGGAAAGGGAAAAGAGCCTGCACAAAAACCTTAGGTACTTGTTCATGTTTCACGAGAATTTATCATATAACCACAGACTTTCCTTACTACCCTAAACACCATTACCATTCCTAAAAATGTATCCGAGGCTTTAGAAGATAAGAATTGGAAGAATGCCATGTAGGTTCAATGGAAGCTCTTGAGAAGAATAGGACATGGGACTTGGTAACATTGCCAGAAGGGAAGAAGACAATGGGATGTAGATGGGTATTACAGTGAAGTACAAATTAGATGGTTCCCTACAAAGGTACAAAGCAAGGTTGGTGGCCAATGGGTACTATCAAACATATGGATAGACTATATCAAGACGTTTGCTTCAGTTGCCAAGATGAACACTGTGAGAATTCTATTATCTTTAATTGCCAATCAAGGGTGAATCTCTAACAATTTGACATTAAAAACGCCTTCATACACGGAGACCTTGAAGAGGAAGTATACATGGATTCCGCCAGGTTTCGATTTAAGCAATAAGCAAGTAATGTGTAAGTTAAAAAAGGCACTATATGGACTGAAATAGTCCCCAAGAGCCTGGTTTGGTAGGTTTGCCAAGGTGATGTTAAAGCTGGGTTACAAGCAAAGTCAAAGTGATCACACCTTATTTGTGAAACACTCATTCAGGGGAGTGACCACTTATTAGTCTATGCAGATAATATTATAATTACAGAGGATGACTTGAAAGGAATGAATGACTTAAAGAAGTTTGGTAAGGGGTTAAAAGTCAAGAAGCTAGGTAGATTAAAATATTTCATTAGAATTGAAATAGCACATTCTCAACAAGGAATCTTCATATCTCAACAAAAATTTACCCTAGACTTGTTGGAAGAGACGAGAAAATTTGGATGCAAATCGACAGAGACACCAATAGAAGCTAACCACAAACTGGTGATGCAACAAAAGGTATAGCAGTTAACAGAGGCTCCTATCAAAGGTTGGTAGGAAAACTCATATATTTGTCACATACCATACCATACATTACCTATGTAGTTGGGGTTGTGAGCTAATTTATGCATAATCCTAAAGACTCACACTTGAGGGCTGTTAATCAAATCTTACAATACTTATAGGGCACACCATGGAAAGGAATAATTTTTAAAAGGGGAGGAAATTTAACTCTAGATGCTTATATTGATGTTGACTATGCAGGGTCCATGGTGGACATAAGATCAACCTCAGGGTATTGCACCTTTTTGGGGGAAACCTTGTGACTTAGAGAAGCTAAAAACATAATGTGTGGCTAGATCAAATGCAGAAGCTGAGTTCAAGGCAATGACACTTTGGGTTTATGAGTTATTATGGCTGAAATTCATCCTGAAAAACTTGAAGATCAAGTGGAAGGCCTGATAAAATTATATTATGATAATAAGCCATCCATCAACATAGCACATAACTCAGTTCAACATGATAGGACAAAGCACATTGAAGTGGACAAACATTTCATAAAGGAAAACTCGACGGTGGGTTAATTTATACGCCTTATGTGTCTACTGGAGATCAAATTGAAGATACACTTACCAAGGGTTACCTGGAAAGTATTTTCAGAAACTGGCAAGCAAGCTGAAAATGGAAGATATCCATTCCCAGCTTGAAAGGGAATGTCAGAAATTAGATTCCTAATTTAGGAAGATTATGTTATTAACTACGATATTGTAAATAGTCTTACAATCCCTAACTTTAAGGGATTTAATTCTTATTTAGAATAGACTACTTTCCTAGCATATGGGTTTCATAAGATAAATTATTGTTTGTGTATATAATTGTGTACCTACTCTATGAAAAATACAACTGAATTAATCTATTTTCGACAAGTTCAATTTTGGTAATCAAGTGCCTAGAGAGAAATAAAATTATCCAATCCTAACATACACAAACTATAAAAATAAATGCTGTTATTTGTTAATTGTGAACAACCATGGTACCTGTCTTTTGTACATTGACTATTAATGAAAATCTAAACTACACATCAAGTAGCATTTATTTTAAGAGAAATGGCATAGTTATCTTACTTTCATTTCAGGTAAAGGGATTTTAACTTTTGTCAGCATTATTTCACAATTATATGCCCGTTTAAGCTCAATCTACAATATAAATGAATTTCTTGTGAGATATCATATTAAGATAAAAGCTCCAAGATGAATAAGAGTTTAATAAGAAGATAAAGAGAAGTTCCAACCAAGAAACATAACATTATGGAAAATCACTATCAAGAACCAAGTATGAAATAATTAACAGATTTAAAGGGGGAAAATCCTTTCATCCCCAATTTGGTGCAAAACAGAATTAAGATCCTTAAGTCAGGCAATCAAGAGAACTAACAATGACCTTCAAGCCTTCAACCTGTTCAAAAGAAGGGGGACTGCTAATTACTAGCTGGACTTTATCAGGTTTACGACCCGCATTACTGTTTGATTTCCCAGGCTTGTTCTTGCTATTTGTAGTTGGTGAAATTGTAGAGAAGAGAGTCTCAAGTTCTAACATGTCAAATTCTGTAGCCCTAGTATAAAAAAAAATTTGTCATAGTACATATCTATGAAATTATGTGAACGAAAGAGTCAGTGGCAAATGTGTACTTGGCAGCTTCCTCGGGTCTTTGTGCCTTAGCCCATAAGCTTCCTTGTTGGACCCTCGTTAACTTCATCCAGTGATATGCTTTAAGTTGGCCTTTTATGGTTTGACCCTGATTCTTAGTAGAACCTAAACATGCTATTTAACGACCCCTCATCAAAGGAGTGTCAGGAGGTGGTCCTGGAATTGAAGGTATATTACCATTACTTATTGAGTTTTCTCTAGATAATCCAATAGAAGCTGGAGGAGGTGGAATGGGTGGACAAGTGGACCAGGACCAGGAAGAGGGGGTAGCAGTGGCATTGAGGATGAACTAGTAAGGGGAGGTGGGGAGGAGGTCCTGATGTCCAAGGTTGGGGTGAAGAAATTGAGCAGGTAGCCATGTTTGAGGAATCATCATTGGAAGGGATGGAGGAGGGAAAGTGTAACATCCCAAAAATCGGGCTAATGACTAAAACGTAAGTTTTTAAAACTTGGTGATCAATTTCAAAAAATTGAAAAGTTTAGGGATTTATTAGAATATTTTGTGAAGGATTATTTAGTAAATATTGAATGAAGTAAGGGTAAATTGGTCTTTTCGAAGGAAAGATTTTTATCTTCCCTTTAGAGGGGATTTATTCACGTGGAGAAAGGAAGAAATGATAAAAGAAAAGTTTGGAAACCATTGTTATCTTCTCCTTCTTTGCCGTGAGCTCCATTTAAAAGGTGAGTCTTGGTAAGCTGGTTATTTCTTGAGTTTTAAGTTTAGTTATGATTTTTGGAGTGTTAAGAAAGCATAAGGAAATATTATAGTGGTTTAAAACTCAAAGGTGGATAAGTTATAAAAGATTATATAAAGAGTTTTTAAGTGAATTGTTAATTGAGAGGTTGTAAATAAATTTTGAGGCTAAAGTTGACTTGTCATGAGCTAAAATAAGAAATTCAAAGTGTTAGAACTGAATTTGGAACATGTTGATAAATTGATACGATTATTGAATTCAAGTGAGTATGTGGGATATTGGATATCAGGATGAGTTAAAATGATATAAGTTGATTTGAGTAAGTTTAGTTAAGTTTAAAGGATTAAAAGGAGGTTAGAGAAGAAGAGTTAAGTGAGTTTGGTTGATATACGAAATGGAAATAGAAATTATGGGCATGGAGTATTAGTACTAGAAGAAAAAATACCGATACTTCAAGGCAAAAATCAGTTGAATTCAAAGGGTAGTATCGATACTGGTTGCGTAAGGTATTGATACTGAATAGGGAGTATCGATACCAAGGGTATAATATCGATACCATTTCCAAAATAATTCTCCAGAATATTAAAATGGTATCGGTACTGAAGAGGGTATCGATACCACATAAGGAAAGTATCAGTATTGTAGTGGGAGTACCGATACTATTGAGCATGAAATAATAAATTAAGTGTTTCTTTTAGCTTAATTTATGATGATTGGTTATAAGTGATTAGAATTAAGATATTCATATCGATTATATATATCGTGTAGATATCGAATGAAAAAAGTATCGGATGAGTCAATAAGATAAGATTGATCGAGAAAGAGATAAATGTATTGCCGGGACTAGTGAGGCTAAGGTGAGTGCATGCTATTGTGTATATGGCAGTATGGAAATATGACTCGTAATGAGTTTGTTTCCAATATTTGATTGCATGAATCTATGAATGTTAGTATGTGTTTGATATGATTATTATGTACGCATGAGTACATGAATAGAGTCATAGGTGTCATATGTTATTGTATGTGCTATATAGTAACTATATGAATACATGTATGTGTGATAACTATGTGTTATATGTTATTTTGTGTGTGATAAGGATATAGGTAATTATATGATAACAATGTATAAATTATATGAATTAGATTTAGGTGATTAAATGAAAAGTGAGAAAAACTAGGTAGAGTTAACCTATATGATAATATGAGAATAGAATATAAGTTAGGAGATATTCACATAAATGAGTATACGAACATGTCAGATAAGCTATATAGGGAGGTCTATATGTTTAAATGAAACTATGATCTAAAACTTATTAGATTTCTATGTGATATGAGGTATAGTACAATGATCCAAGAAATCATATGAGAATGTTATAGGAACTAGGTGATAATAAGTTATGAGAATATATGTCTGTGTGACAAGCTATGTGAAACTGAACTAAGGGAATATAAGAAATTAAAATATGAGAAATATTATATAGTGATTATGTGAAACTAGGATATAAGCTATATGACATTGATATATTGACTATATGAAAAGGAGTACATGATTGTGTAACAGTTTATAGGAATTGGTATAATGAAATTATATAAATAAGTGAAAAAGTAAAATAAGCTATGTGATGTTGACATAAACTATTTTATGAACTAGTGATATAAGATATGTAAAACTGAATTGTGTACATATATGAAACTGTGGTATAAACTATGTGATGAGAAGTTATATGTTATATGATTTATGCGATAATAGGAGAATGTGACATAAGCTATACGATAATATATAATTGATTTCATTAACATGTGATATAAATTACGTGTCAAGGAATTATGTGACTATATGTCTATGTGATATGTAACTATATATGCTACATGATATATGTGATCATAAGAGAACAAAGTATAAGCTATATTATATGATATAAGTGATTTCATGAGAAATGATATGAACTCTATGAGTAGATGTATATATGATGATTTGGTTGACTATATGAATATGTGATAACAAGAGAAATTGATATAAGTTATGAGACTATATGAAAATGTTACATGAGCTATGTGATAAGAAACTATGAGATTATATACCTATGTGATATGAGTTATAAGATTTATGATAAATGGTAAAGCCCATGTTAGGTGATAAGAGAGCTAGGGGTATAGTTGGCATGCCAAGAGTCGAGGGTTATACGTGGTCCTTTGGGACATTTCTACTCAGTGGAAATTTATACGAGCTATGGTGACAACATTTGTTCACAACCTTAATGTACTTGCATATCTTTAGTTCTCACAAGTGTACCATGGGCAAATGAAAGACATAACATACTAAACCTTGTGTGATTGTTATGTGTGTTTTTGGGGGAAATGTGTTATATGAATTGTATAAATGGATAAGTAAAAGATTATATGATAAATGGTATTAATGATAAAAATATTGATAATGATAACATATGTATGCATTTTGTTATATGTAATATTATATGATTTTGTATGATAGGATGATATGAAATGTTCTGGTATTGTTACGTATTCAAGTTTCCATTTATACGTTTTATATGTCTCACTAAGTCAATGACTTAGTGTGTGAGTGTTTCACACGTAGTTTCCAAGAAACAAAAAGAGGAGTAATGATAGACTAGTCACGTCAGCTTCTCCTTTCCAAATATCAGATCATAAAAGTATTTGAATAGTATGTATTTTGATATAAGGAATGTAGTTGGCATGTAAATAAAAGATTTGAATTGTATACACTCTGATAAGTTTTGTAAATTTTTTGAATTATTGTATGTAAATAATTTCAATTTTAATGTTAATGAAAGTTTAAAATTTTCAACGATTTAGTAAGAGCAAATGTTTTGAGAATGGTTAATGTGACACCTCGGATTCGTATCCGGGTCGGGTACGGATGGGGTGTTATATTTAATAGTATCAAGCTAAGGTTTAGCTGATTTTAGGCATAAATCCAAGGCAAATGAGTTTTGAAACATGTACATGCTAACAAAAAGAAAAACTTATGATCTGATAGTGTAAGGAGTGTGCTTTCTTGTTAATAGAATATGATTGTTAGGTTATATTAGATGCATGATTATGAAAGCTTTCGAAGTAAAGCGAAAGGTGATAGACCTGATGGTGGTAGCAATTCACCTGCCCTGGCCAGACATAATGAAAAGCAGGCACCTCAAGAAGTGCCTGTATAAGATCAATGATCGTTTTTAAGAGGTTGTAAACTAGTTAGAATAGTGTTAGAGGGTCTTCATTGTTCTGAAGTGGAATAGTTTCTTTGGTATGCGGGCAAGTTAGAGTATCATGGATAAATGTCATCATGAGAATGTTAAAAGATCAAGTGATATGGTTATTGTTTTTAGCAGAGTTCAAGAATGAGTACATAGGTGATCAGTTCATAAGACAAATGAAGTTATAATTTTTGAGTTAGATCAAAGGAATTGCATCGTGTATTAGTAAGAGTTCGAGTTTGATAAATTGAGTAAATTACTGTTGAGTTAGTTTCTACAGAAAATAATGTATGTGATTGGTTTGTGGAGAGCTTGTGCCCTAGATTAAAAGAGTGTTATTGGTTTTGGAACTGTTCCCTTTTCAAGAAGTGGTAAATCGTGCTAAAGCCCTAGAAAGAGCTTAGAAGGAATAAGAGAATTGGTGTTTCATAGAATTCAATATTATCAAAGAGAGAGAGATTCTGGTTTTCAACTTCAAACTTGATCTGAATTAGTTGTATTCCCTGTCGGAAGATTAAATCTGATGATAGCCAGACATACTCAAGTGGTAGGGTATGGTATTGGAAGATTAAATAAGGAGTTAAGAATGGTTAATTGATATGAAGTTAAGTTTAAGAATGAACTTGGTGAATTGGATTAAAAGTTTTGTTAGAAATTATGAAAAGTAAAGTACAAGAAGTATTTTAAATGGATTCAGTGAGTATTTGATTATGGTATTTGATTAATTAAGTGGGAAAAATGTAAGTATAAGAAATGGTAAAGAATAAGGTTTTGTGTAAGTGGTGTGAATTAGCAAAGTTATGAAAGGTGATAAAGATTGGTAATCAGAGATAAGTATGAGTGATATGAAAAGAGTATGGGAGCATAAAGGAAAAGATATGACCTATGTTACAAGGAGATTTTGATTTGGGAAGGAATAAATAGATAAGTAAATTAAATGATGGAGTTTAAAAGGTCAAGTATGACATGGATTATATTGAAGTGAGGTGAATATTTCTTGGATAAGTAAGTAATGTTATATGAAAAGATTGTTTGATTTCATGAAGTATATGTCTTAAGTATATCTAAGAAAGATTTAAAGTTACCTCAAAGTTATGGAAATCTTTAAACAAGGTCTCGGGAATTTGAATGGATGGTAGTAGTTATATCCAAGCATAGACAAATAGTTAATATAAGTATAATA